TTTCAGGCCATATAGAGATCGGCGGAGACGACACACCATCGAACTGTCTCCCCGAGTATATCCAGGAGGACGTTCCATATAAATGACTTCCTTCAGATCGCCGTGAAGAAATGCATTCTTCACGTCAAGCTGAAGTAAATTCCACCCTTTCATAGCTGCCACCGCTAACAAACTCCGGACTGTCTGCATTTTTGCCACAGGAGCAAAAGTCTCGGCATAGTCTACTCCATACTCTTGACGGAACCCCTGTGCAACCACTCGAGCTCGAAACCGCTCCACCGTACCATCCGGATGCATCTTAATCGTATAAACCCACTTACTACCAATAACAGAGAACTCAGGCTGCCGAACTACCAAATCCCATGTACCCGTCGCTTCAAGAGCATCCGTTTCTACATTCATGGCCTTTTCTCAATGCTCAATTCCTTTGGCCTGTTTATAAGTAGCGGGAACAACAATAGAAGGAGTGGAAAAGGCAACAAATTCAGAGTGATGGCGAGGAGGCACACCTTTCGTAGCCCGAAGGGAACGACGCAGCTGGGGGCCAGCTTCCTCGGCACTAGATGGCTGCGGTCCTGAACTGGATGACGACCCAGAGGAAGAAGAAGACCCAGGGGACATCGGAGATGAGGGACCAGACTCATCCGACGAAGAGGAATGCGAGGAAGTAGAGCCAGCTGAGGAACCTGATGCTGCTGACGAGGAGGAAGGCTGTTGGAAACTCGAATCGGTGGAGTTATCCTGCTCAGAACCCGCCATAGTTGGTTCCACAGAACCCAGCTCCTGAGGAGGTAATCGGAAAGGCCGCAGAAACTCAAGATCAGGTGCAGAAGAAGACCCGGCATCCGGAGAGCCATAAAAGGGCACGTGCTCAAGAAATACAACATGACATGAGATGCGTACTCGCCGAGAGCTAGGATCATAACACACATAACCTTTATGCTTATCACTGTAGCCGAGAAAAACACACCGGGCAGCCTTAGGAGAGAGCTTGTCACGTTCTTTACGTGTTAATAGAACATAACACGTGCACCCAAATACACGCAGCCAGCCATAGTTAGGAAGCCGAGAATATAACGCCTGATACGGACTACGCTGCTGAAGCACGGAAGTGACTTGACGATTGATCAAATAAACCACTGTGTGAACCGCTTCAACCCAAAAACTTTTAGGAACATGAGAATGAAATAGAATGGCACGAGTAAGTTCCAAGACATGGCGATTCTTCCGTTCCACCAACCCATTCTGCTGTGAGACACCCGGACAAGGCTGTTGCACCAAAATACCTCGGTCACGTAGAAAAGCCTGTAGCGGATGCGAAGTAAACTCCCCACCTTGATCCGACCGTAGGATCTTGACAGTTTTCCCAAATTGGGTAGAGACCATTTGAAAAAACTCTTGAGCTTTATCCAGCAACTCAGACTTCTGACGAAGAAAAAACACCCAAGTGAACCTGGTAGCATGATCGACGAACAATGCAAAATATCGGAATCCCAATCGAGACGTGACTGGAGAAGGACCCCATAAATCTGTGTGCACAAGCTCAAATGGTGCAGAATAAACAGTCTCACTGGAGGTAAAGGAACGCTGTGAAATCTTGGCTTGCACACAGTGAATACACTCATGATCGGGACCATGAAAATCATTACCAGATAACCATTTATTCTGAAACATAGCACGAAGTCGCAAAGAATTCGGATGGCCCAATCGAAAATGCCACAAATCCCAGTTTGACAATTTAACTGAAAAACCAACTCTATTATCCGATAACGGTAAACCCTCACTATCACTAGACCCAGCTACACAACTACTTGACCCAGCTCCAGCCTCCAATAGTCCACTCGTCCTGGTCAGCTCGGGAACACCTGCTGCGCCATTAGCAGCCGAACGAGTGTAATGGTCAAGTAGAAAGGTCCTGCCTCGCTTACTCCCTCTCCCTACTTCCTTCCCCGTCATCGTGTCCTGCACAGTACATCCATTCTTATCAAATATGACACGACACCCGTCATCAGCTAACTGACCCACAGAAACTAGACTGGGCACGAGTTGAGGGACATATAACGTATTAGGTAGAGATATATGGGGCTGAATCACATGACCAACCCCAGAAACAGCCATACGAGAGCCATTCGCGGCCTGTAAATCCATAGCGGATGAGGATTTATCAAGTGTACGAAATACCCGTCGAGAACTCGTCATGTGATTGTAAGCTGCAGAGTCAATATGCCAAGGAGGGGAATCAATAGAAGGCATACCAGTGGCAAAGGCGGATGTCAAGGCGTTGGGCAAAGCTGCTTGCAAGGCCTCCTGCACAAGGCGACGCACGTCGTCGGAAGTAAGAGGTGCAGCGGACAAAGAAGAGCTTGCTGCCGAATTGCCAGGCAGCGTAGCATACGCACCACCGGATGCTGACCGAGAGCCACCCTCACGAGCTCCACCCGACCGAGAGCGCCGACGTTGAGCAAGAGTGGGACACGCTGCAATGAGGTGACCTTCAAGCTTACAATAGTTACAGGTGTTGCGTCGCGGACAGTGAAATTGGATATGCCCCGGTTCTTTGCAGTGAAAGCACACAATTTCACCCTTAGCTGTGCGGTGAAATTGAGGTCTACCTGCTCCCTGCGATTTCCCAGCACCAACCGCAAATGCTGCCCCAGTCTCAGTAGTATGGATGTCAAGCTTTGCTTGACTCTTAAGGCGCGTTTCTTCTCGAAGTAATTCCGAAAGCACCTCTTCCATAGTTGATACATTTCGGTGCAATAAAGAAGCCCTTATGCCTTCATATTCAGGCCGCAGCTGCATAAGGAAGCGCATGACGCGCGAGCTGGCGCGTTCAAGAAGCATATCTGACGTCGCTGGCGAGGAAGATAACGAGGCCAAGATCAAATCTTGCTCCGTCCATAGGGTCACCGCCTCTTGATAGTAAGCGCTAATGTCCATATCTCCTTGGCGTAAAAGAGCAAGGGCCTGCTCCACATCAAACTTGCGGGAAACACTAGCTTTGGAATAAAGCTTCTTCAAGTGATCCCAAATTGCAGCCGCTGTATCAAAACCCCTCAAACTAAGGGCAATGCCCGGGTCAACCGAACCAAGAAGAGAAGCCATAACCTGTGCATTGTACATAGCCCAATCCTCCTTCTCCTTCGACGTAGCCGTCTCGGCAGGCGCAGCCGAGGTACCGGTGAGAATCGGCAAAAGCCGCCGACCCTGAACATGAAGGCGAAATTGCAGTTCCCATAACGCATAATTCTTACCAATGAAGCGAACCGCAATCACGTCCGTCTTCGAACCCTCCATGATAAACTACACAGTAGAGAAACCCGTAAAAATACCGCGAGCACGGGAAGCCGAACACCACGAACACGAGAAGCCACAAATCACGACACCGAGAATCGTCGCACAGAATCAAGCGACCAGAAAGCACAGCAGTCCGAAAACACGATCAAATCACGACGAGATGACAAGAGGCTCTGATACCATGTCAATCAATACGAGAAAACGAAGAACACGAGACGCAAGTTTACGTGGTTTCCCCAACGATGATCGTTGGGACTAGTCCACGGCACAACGGCAGAGTTTGATCTTATTCTCTTGTTTTTGTTAACCTTACAGGATCGGCCTATCAACATATATATACACGGCCAAAGCTCATAACCCTAACACGGACAATTACAATTTGGTACTCATACTTCTAACACAATGTGTCCATTTATATACTCATTAGGATCTAATCAATCCATAAACATCACCTCTGAAATATTGGCCTCTAGCTAGCCTAGCTTGAGTACGTACGTCCAAACACCTTCTACCAATTCGGCCAAAAGGGTTTTACGTTGGACACCTGGCACGAACCAATGTGTGGCTTAGGATCCATTTTGCGAATCTTCCCAACGTTAGCCACCGGCCCCCATGTTTTTTACAGGCCACCAACCTATGTTATTAATTGAACTGTGAAATTAGAAGTTCCAGGTAGCATCATATATATTTACTCCAAACTAACACGATACAAGCGTGTGAACCTATAGAATTTTTTTTTGCCTCCAATAGACGATGAAATTTGTTATAAAGTACTTATGACAGGAATCAAAGATGATGTGAACAATATAACATAATATGATGGAAGTATCTAACAAATGACCGTCACACACATCTATGTGTAAATAGTCGGCAATACTAAATCGAAAAATTCAAAATTGAAGCATCCATATTGTTTGTTTGTAGGAGTGCTTTTTTAAACCCCTGCTCTCAGACTCAGAGCATATTGAGCAGTAATTAAGTAAAAATTTAAAATGAGAAGAGACGACATATTTTTTTTCTTCTTTTTTACGAGAACTTCTCAAATTTTAAGTTAACGCTTAAGAAAAGAAAGAGCTAGTGCTATTTTCTAATTTAACATAATCTCATACCGAATATTGAGAAGAGCTACACTATACCTCAAGATTCCCTTTCTATCAACTCTGGTAGAAGTCTAGAGGATGGCTTTTGGTATGTTGTTATGGACCGTCTAAAGGCCATTTATTACTTATATTTCAATTATGAATTGGATTAGGAGGGCGATAATAACACAAGTGGAGAGTCCAAAGTTAATTAGCCAAAGTTTGCAACGATAGGAGGTCTGGAGGAGGTGCCAAATCACAATTACATGGAGATGCCGACGTGGCAAATATTATCCAAATAATAATTCATTAATGTCAACTTCTAGTTGGGTATGCGCTGCACACTCTGCTAACTTCATTTTCCCTAGGGTTAAAGACACCTTTGGTCACTGAGATTACAAAATTGGGACATGTTTAGTCACTAGAAAAAATTAATATCAAATTTGGTCACTACAATTACTAAAACTGGACACATTTAGTCACTCGCCGTTAGTCTCCGTCCAACTCCGTTAATGAAGTCCGTTAAGTGATGATGTGGCAAACAGAAATGCCTAATCAGCCGGATATAACCCAACAAAAAAAAAAAAAACCTGACCCGCCACGTCATTTTAACCCGCCACGTCATTAAAACCAACCCAACCCAACCCAACCCATGACCCAACCCCACCCAACCCTTCTTCCTGTCAATTTTCGCAGCCGGTGGAGGTTTGCTTTCCCAACGAATTCACACAAGGCATCAACAGCAGCTAAATGTTCCATTCCTATGGTGCCATCTCTAAACAAGTCCACACACCTCTGTTTCAATTGATCAGCATAGAGCAAGCAGGTCTCATACTCACCTCTCATGGCGGCGGAAGTCATGTTGCGGTAGTCGGCGCGGGCATCGTCGGTCAGCCCGTCGACGAAGTACTGCAGGGCGAGCGGCGTCATGGTGGCGGCTTTCGACACGGTGGAGGAAACAGCTTCGAAGACGAGGATGGAGTGGTGGGAGACGATGGCCCGGCCGCTCTCGCTGCAGAGAACAGGGTGTTTGATGTTCTTCCTGTCGCAGACGAATTTCACCGCCTGGACGACGGCGAGAGCGTACTCTCCGAGACCGTAGGCGACGGAGAGATCCGAATCGCCGGATTTGGAGCCGTCGTAGTCGATTCCAAGCCCACCGCCGATGTCGAGGACTTGCATGTTGACGCCGAGACGGACCAGTTCAGAATAGATCTGCGCATCTTCGCCGACCCCATCGGCGAGCAAGCCGGTGGATGGGATCTGAGATCCGATGTGAAAATGCAGGAGCTGGAAGCAATCAAGCATTCCGACCTCCCGCAAACCACACTGAACTCGTCGTCTTCCGACCTCCACACGAAACCAACAACCTCGAGCTAGTTCGCCGTTTCTTCCACTTTCCCCTCCGGCTCCCGCATTCCGCCCGCTACGGTAGACCAGTGATCCCATTTCTGCTCACACCATAAAAACCCCACACAGAGAGGCGTGGAAGAGAGGAAAGGAGAAAACCCCATCTTCCATTTTGTGATGCTCTTGTTCTTCTTCCTTCGTGAAGAGTGTGATTGACTGTAATATACGGTCTTTTGGCTCGAATCGCCGACTCCTCCCTGGAGGTTTTGTGATTTGTCGATTTTCGGAGGTCCCCAGGAGATTCGAAGGGTTTGGTATATATACACGTCGGAGGTTCGTTCAATCGAGGGAGGATGGAAGCAGCAGCTACGGCTTCTGTGGTCGTTCAATCGTCCGGCGTCGGGTACTCGACGCAGTCGGCTTATGTCAGTCGATTAGGGTTTCAGTGTGGTTTGCGGGAGGAGGTGGGAGGAAGGAGGAGAGCGGCGGCGGTGGTTTTGGGGAAAGAAGGAGGTGAGAGGAAGGAGGAAGAAAGGTTGGGTGGGGTTGGGTCATGGGTTGGTTTTAATGACGTGGCGGGTTAAAATGACGTGGCGGGTCGGGTTTTATTTTTGTTGGGTTATATCCGGCTGATTAGGCATTTCTGTTTGCCACATCATCACTTAACGGACTTCATTAACGGAGTTGGACGGAGACTAACGGCGAGTGACTAAATGTGTCCAGTTTTAGTAATTGTAGTGACCAAATTTGATATTAATTTTTTCTAGTGACTAAACATGTCCCGATTTTGTAATCTCAGTGACCAAATGTGTCTTTAACCCATTTTCCCTACTTTCCTTTTCAAAAATCGCTCTCTCCTCTCTCTAGGAGCAAGCTCCTTTTCACATTTCCCATGGCTGCCGCCGGCTCCTTTTGGTGACCGGCGGCAGCTCAGTCTCTCTTTTCTGTACTTTCCTTTGCTCTTGTGTTCAAGCCTTTGTCTTTGGCGATTTTCTCCCGGATCTTTTGTTTAGGGTTTCTCTGCCGATGTGGCGTTTCAGATTTCAGAGCGGCTGCTCTTCTTCTCGGATCTAGATTTTTCCTCTCTGGTCTTGCTTTGCTCTGCTTGGGTTTCGGATTTTGCAGCTGGGAGAGTCTCTTTTGCAGATCTGGTGCTTGAGTGACTCCTCCTTGTTGGTGGTTTCTTCTATTCGGAAGAACTCATTCGCCGTTTTCCCCTGCCGTCGACTGTTGATGAGCATCTCAGCCTCGTCTCTTTTCGACTGTTGTGGGTTTCGGTGTCATTTCCGTTTGTCATTGGCAACTGTTCTGGGTTTCGGTTGAGACTAGGCTGGAATTCTTTGTCTCTCCATTTCTCGGTCCATCTTGCCTTCGGCATCCTCGACCTTTTTTCAGCTCTGAGCATCCCGGTTTCAGCCCTGCCCACCGCCATGTAATTGCAACCTTGTGATTCACTGTGATGGATCGTCTTCGAACGATCCCCAGGAGGCGGCTTATGGCGTTGTGTTTTCAAGCGCCATGGTCTTGTCTGTTTTGGGAGAGTTGAAACCCTGCTTTGTTGCTGATCTGTTGGTTGTGGAAGCGTGAGGTTCTTGGGTTCACTTCCTTGGCTCTGGTGATGGCTCTCTGATATTTGTGTAGTTCAATCTTGCCTGCTTTTTCTTGTGGCTGGTTCTCTAGCTTTGCTTTTGTCTTTGATTGTTCTGCCTTTTTATTAGAGTGTCCATTTTGCTTTTGCTCCATTGATGTAATCCGCCTCTTGTAACCGTGATTTCCAGATTGCAATATAAGCACATCCTTTGTCAAAAAAAACTTCTAGTTGGGTTGGACAAAACTTGGACACCACAATCTGATCTGGCCTTCTCATAAAAAAACCCTAAACCCAAATTAGAAGATAAAAAAAAAATGCATGATATCAACAACAGGTGGCCTTGGAAGTTGAATAGGTCACACTCAGTGCCTGACTCGGCATTTTTGGACTAATTATTAGGGCAACTGAAAGAAAGTAGACTCCTCATTCCTTTGAAAACAGTTAACTACTTCATTTGTCCCAACTGATTAGGGTTATTAGAGAGAAAGGGGTTTGGGTTTCCGGTGTTGTTGTGTAACTACTAGTTTCCTTTGGTTTTGGATATGTAGACAAGATTTTTTTTCTTATAACTTAATTGGACATTGTGACAAGTCTAATTGTCATTATCGTCCTTGTTTACTTTTCAGTTTTCATTAATCAATGTGAAGATTTTGATCCCCCGACCCACCTTAATCGTGGTTTAATTGCCTACAGACTTGTCTTAATATATTTATGTATTTTTTTTAAGTAGAGACTTGTCTTAATTGGGACTTCAAATTTCTTGACTAAAAAAAGCACTTCTATTATGCTATATAGTATTGGTGCTTTAATGTACAACTTAAAGTTGTACCATAACATTAAATGTATAAGTTTAGGTTGTACCATAAAGCAATTTGTACCATCGGGTTTGGCCAATATAGTTATTTTGATGTATAGTTTGGGCCAGGATGTTATAGATAGAAAAGATTGGCCAGGATGTTTATTATGGTTAAAGTTCAGGCTATACAAATATATTAACCCTATCTAAAAATAGTGACAAAATGTCCTTGTGGGTATCAGATCACTTCAATAAACATTTAGGGCTCGTTTGCTTCATGAATTTGAAAAATGAAGGTTTTTGGTTAAAACCTGGGTTTTACAAAACCATGGATATATGATGGAATTGTCCCATTTGTTTTTTTGGTACATACCATCGTTTGCTTGTTGGATTTCATGATGGATTTGGCATTATTATATTTGTGCTTGTATTAGGAATTTACCTTAGTGCCCTTATTGAGTATTATTTATATTTACATTATAATTTTTGTTTAAAACAAGTTTCATCCAATAGGTTCGTCCCACTACCACAATCGGAATAAATGAACATCATTAATCAATAACAACATCATATTATACACATAATTATATTATACAATTCCTTAAGGTTTTCAATATTACAAAGTATGCTTTGCGATTAATCATGTAGTGCTTTCGTGCAATGAATAATAATAAATATTAAATGCAAAATTAATATGCACTTCAAGTTGGTAATTAGTAAATGAAAGAAGATGAGTAGATGATTAGTGAAATAAGTAGGGTTAAAATTGTAAAAAAGTCATCATGGAATTTGTACCCCAACACAAATCCCACCTCTTGGGGTGGAATTCTCAAGTCTGTGGGGTCCACGGATTTGGACCCTCAAAGTCCGTGGGCCCCACGGATTTATTCCTCCTAAATCCATCAAGCAAACGACGGATTGTGTACAAAGTCCATGATGCTTGATTTTTAAGTACCAAATCCATGACCAATTCCATGAAGCAAGCAAGGGCTTAGGTATATGATAGAATAATCTGTGAAAAATTTGTTCACTTTTTAATTTACCACCTGTGTCATCTACACTGTGATGCATCACTATGCACGCCTGCGACGACATACAATCGTCGCTGAAAGTCTCCAACATTCTGCGACGAAAGACAATCGTCGCAGAAAGTCTATAAACATTCTGCAACGATAAACAATCGTCGCAGAAAGTCTTCAAACATTCTGTGACGAAATCACCTATCATGAAAAAGAAATGACCGTTGCAAAAATCTTTGCCATAGGCACCACAAAATATTAACACAATGCGCGACGAAAATGCAATTTTCGTCGCAAAATGTTCACTTTCTGCGACAAATTTTGTGTCGTCGCAATAGAATTTGTCGAGAAAAGTGATGTTTCTTTTTTTTTTTTGTAGAAAAAAGTGATGTTTCTTGTAGTGTCAAACTTTGCAAAAACTTCAAATTTAAGCAAGTGACGTTCCTATTGAATTGATGGACATGTCATTTTTGTCTAATTTCAATTGTTCAATTACATAGAGCCTAGAGGGCATGCGAAATGAATAAGTGATATTGTGTATTCTCCACAACAATTATCTGCTCGAGAATGAACCAATTGATCCAGGTCAAATAATAAAATAGAACAATACAACGATGATTGAAAAGTAATTCGTAAGCATGCTTATAAGAATATGCATTTTGGAACTTGTAATTAAATACCTTCAGTCTTAGTTCTGTAAATCTGAGATTTGTTGGTTATCAAAAAGGGACTTTGCTACGGTGACATGCATGTCACGGTGACATGCACTTTTCGGTCGACCTCATATAGGATCAGGTCGACCTAATCAGTTGTTTCAGTGTACAAACAGTTTCATGGTGCATACTTTGGAGATTCATATCTTACAATTAGCTAGATGGAAATTGGAGATTAAAGGCTTGTTTTGAAGCTGAAGTGTCCCTCTACACATTAAAGTACTTGGGAGCTCAATAGAAAGTCCAGAAGACCATTTTTGAACCTGACCAAAAGGCTATGCCAAAACTGGGAAACTGCCTGAAAATGGCTAAGTCTGGCAACATGTTTGTCAAGCCTACTTTGGAGCTCAATTTGACAAGCATGGATGCGAGCCAAGTCCAGGGGCCTTTACCACGTTAAATTACGTATTTTTTTATACAAAGGCAAGACATTGAATGAAAGATTGAATATCTTTAAGGCTTCAAACAAAAGGCTCGAAGTTTGCTACGAAGCCTGTTTTTCTGGCAGCTTGCTTGTGCTCGAAGTCTGCCAGAAAAACAGCCTTCGTAGCAACTTCGACCCTTTTGTTTGAAGCCTTAAAAATATCCAATCTTTCATCCAATTCCTTGAATTTGTATAAAAACATACCTAATTTAATGTGGTAGAGGCTCCTGGACTCGACTCGCATTCATGCTTCTCGAATTGAGCTCAAAAATAGGCTTCACAAACACGTTTCCAGACTTAGCCATTTCTAGGCAGTTTCCCAGTTTTGGCATAGCCTTTTGATGAGGTTCAAAAATGGTCTTCTGGACTTCCTATCGAGCTCTCAATCACTTCAATATGTAGAGGGACACTCCAGCTTCAAAACAAGTCATTAGTCTTCAATTTCCATCTAGCCAATTGTATGATATGAATATCCAAAGTAGGCACCATGAACTGTTTTTACACTAAAACAACATATTAGGTCGACCGGATCCTATATGAGGTCGACCGAATCCTAAATGAGGTCGACCGGATCCTATATGAGGTCGACCGAATTCTATGTGAGGTCGACCTAATCCTAACTGAGGTCGACCGGAAAGTGCAAGTCACCGTGACATGCATGTCACCATAGGCACACCCAAAAGTATTTTGTAAACAAAAGGTTTGTTCTTCGAGAAAAAACAAGATAAATTAGTCTTTTCTCTCACAAGATAAAACATTCTTTGCTATAATTTGGGAACTAGTCACCTACAATATTTTTAGGATTAATATCTTATTTTGGTCGGAACTATGACCATATAATCAACTTTGGCCCGTGGTTTCAGAAATTAACATCCTAGCCTCAACTATGTAACATATAGACATAATTGGCCCTACACCTAGTTTGACCGTCAATTTAGATGGTTAACACCATTGAGCGTTAGTCAACACGCCATGTCATTGCCTCGTAAGCCTAAAAATCATTAAAAAAATACAAATTCACACTATTTTTTATTATTTATAATCAAATTAACAAAAATAATTTATAAAAATCATAAATAAATTTATTTTTGTATTTTCTGAAAATACTTAATTTAATACATTAACCAAAAATATCAATTATTTTATATATTTAAAATTACCCAAAATAAAATATATTATTTATATCATATTTTTTTAATTTAAAATTTTAATTTGATAATTTTTGGTTAATTGATAAAATTTATCATTTTCAAATATATCAAAAAATAAAATATAAATTTTATTTTATATTTTTAAATTTTATTTTTTGGTTAATTTGAAAATGATAAATAATAGAAATTAGAAAAATAATTTGAATTTGATTTTCTTAATAATTTTTAAGCTGACGAGGCAATGACATGGCGTGTTGACAAATGGTCAGCGGTGTTGACCATCCAATTGACGGTCAAACCATGTGTCAGGCCATTTGAGTCTATATGCTGCATAGTTGAGGCCAGGATGTTAATTTTTGAAACCATGGACCAAAATTGATTATATGATTATAATTCGGGCCAAAATAAGGTATTAACCCATATTTTTATTAAGGAGCCCACAAATTAAACAACATGTAAAAGCTGTCAAACTAGCTTACTTATCAATTCTAAATTTCCAATGAGTAATTTTAGAATGCTTTGTAACATCGTGTTTTGGTTTATGAAAATAGGAGTAAAAATTGAACATGAACTTTCAATGGTATGATATATATACACTTAACTTGTTCCTTTATATTTTTATAAAAATTTGGTTATGATAGAAATTGTATTTTATGTTATGATACATATTCGATTTGTATCATAATATAAATCTACAAATTCTTTTATGATACAAATTGAATTTGTGCATTTATGTTATGGTACAAACTGAACTTATACTTTTAACATTATGTTACAAGTTCAATTTATAAATTGAGACCCAACAATACTTTAGAACATAGTAAAAGAGTTATAGAAAACAAACAACAGCTTCCAATTTGATTTGCATCTTTATGAATTATGATTTGAAAACGGTTAATCACGAAAATATACTGCCATCTGCACAAGGAGCACTTCTACTATGCTATATAGTATTTTTTTTTTTTTTTTTGACAAGACTATGCTATATAGTATTAGTGCTTTAATGTACAACTTAAAGTTGTACCATAACATTAAATGTATAAGTTTAGGTTGTACCATAAAGCAATTTGTACCATTATGTTATGGTACAACTTTACAACTTGAAGTTGTACCATCACATAAAGGGGTAAGTTCAAGTTGTACCATAAAAGAATTTGTACAAAAAGTATAGGTACAATCTGAAGTTGTACCATAACGTAAATGTACAATTTTAAGTTGTACCATAAAGACAAAAACCTATAGCACCAATACTATATAGCATTGTAAAATTTCTCCTACACAAGAATAAATGAAGTTTTCGAATTCAAATTGATTATATTCGCCCCTTCCTCGAGTCATAGCACGTGGTTTTATAAAAGCGTATTGCCGATAGAGTTTATTTTGATCTAGACATATGTCATCATAACAAAAAGAATCATCAATACTTGTGGAGGAAAAAAAATGTAAAATTTTACCAAAATTAATGTTAGCTTATCATTTATATATGTAATGTAAGTAAACCTCGTTAAATTAAAAAGATAAACTTCCTTGAGCATCGTTTGCTTAGTAAACGCTTTTCCTTAATTATAACCATGAAAATGACTCCTTCTTTAGTGAGATTATTATTATAATTGATGGCTAAATTACACGTTTGGTCACTCAAATTATACGAATATTTCACGTTAGCCACCCGAATCACTTTTCTTTCTTATTCGCCACTAACTTTACAAATCGTTTCACCATTAGTCACCCGCCGTCCAATTCCGTTAAAATCATCCTACGTGGCAGTCAACTAAATCCTTTGACCGTTAGTTTGATGACATGGCAATTAAAAAATAAATATATTAATTTTTTCAATTTAAAATTACTTATATAATTCTTCCCCTTCCATCACCGTTAGATTCTTATCTTCTTCCCACAATATTTCAATTTTCACAGCACCAATCCTCGGCGGTTGCGCACATAGTTCTTAACATGCCGACGGAATCCGAAGAGTCCCCGCCGGAGAAATCCATCATCATCCTCATCCATTCGTGAAACTCCTCCTATTTACCACTCATCATTTCACTGCTACTTCCGGTCCCATTGCATCAATCGCTATCTCCTCCACCTACAATATTTCTTCTCTCACGCGCTTACCATTCGCCTTCTCCGATCCCGCCATTTGATTGGACTCGAGCTTCTAACAATCTGAATGTGACCAGGGAAGGAGAAATTGAGCTTGGCTCGCAGCCCCCGGAACTCGATCTGTGCCCTATCATAAGCCCGTGTCGCGTCCTCCGTGGTGTCAAATGTCCCCAGCCACACCCTCGTATCCCGCCGCGGGTCTCGAACGTCGCGGATAGGAGTTATGTTGCTCCGACACCGGCACCGACGCTGCTAGATTGAATGGGAACCGGAGCAATTCGCGGGCGCGAGCTGAATTGGTGGTGTTGGAGACCATGTTCCTTAGTGCGGTGACTATGATGGCAAGCTCTTCCTGCTGGGTGAGGCAAAACGGCGGAGGCGGCGGTGAGAAGTAGTTCGCCGACGTCGAACAATTGACTCTCGATCGGTGTGGGAGAACCCATTCATGAAACTGCAAACCCTCCGCTGAAGCTTCTCGAAGCATATTTTCTGATAATCATCCACAAAAAACCAATCCACATCTCGCGCACGGCCCTCAATTCTGCTCCCAGCCCACAATCCGAATCCTGGATCTGTTTCTGATCTCCAACCATGTCTCGTCGCAATAAGCGTCAAAGCAACTGGCCACTTTTAATTTCTGTCAATTTTGCACAACATATCTCAAGTCCGCGTAGGTGGAAAGGGATGGAAGATGGAAAGTATTTTTAAATTGAAAAATTAATCTATATTTTTATTTTTATTTGCCAAGTCATCAAACTAACGGTCAAAGGGTTTAGTTGACTGCCACGTAGGATGATTTTAACGGAATTGGATGGCGGGTGACTAATGGTGAAACAATTTGTAAAGTTAGTGGCGATTAAGAAAGAAAATTGATTCGGGTGGCAAATGTGAAAGATTCGTATAATTTGAGTGACCAAACGTGTAATTTAGCCTATAATTGATTGTCAATTTTGTTTGTAGACCAACCCCGGATCCCCCTGCCATCAGAAACAATCACAGTCTAACACCGCCCAAAGAGCACGAATTTTTACTTATTTTTCTATCCGACATCGAGAAAAAAAAAGGAAAAAAGAAAATTAAAAACAGGCTTCCGCTGTATAAAACCAGAGAGCCCTCTTTAAAGTTTTCCCAACTCAACACAGAAACACAAACTCTGTATCTTTCTCCGGTCCGGTGTAAAATATAATTCCTTTCTCTCAATGGGAGACCACAATCAGCCATTCCTCTCGGTCTCCGGCGACCCAGAATGCGCTCCGGTACACGACGACAGCGTCGTTGATGACGCCCTCCACCGGCCGCAGGGATCCAGCAAGAGTAAGCTGCTTCTCGCCGTTTTCTCCGGAATTTTCGTGGTCTGCTTGATCCTCGCCGGAGGCTACGATAAATCCGGCGTCATTAAGATCCACCAATTGGAAGGCGGAGATGAGATGGGTGTTGGCCCAATAGAGATGCCAGCTGGAAGTGCGACTACTAGGCCCTCTCTTTCCCGAGGGAAATCCGCCGGCGTGTCGGAGAAGGCTAACTTATCACCGCAGCAATTGCTCGGCGGCGGGGAAGGAAGCGGCGACGGGCTGTCGGAGGACTTCCCGTGGAACAACAGTATGCTGTCCTGGCAAAGGACGGCGTTCCACTTCCAGCCGGAGAAGAATTGGATGAACGGTACCGTTTCTGGCTCCCTTTTTTTGTTCTCGTTTTATTTTTAAAAAAACTATTATTTTTTTTTATTTGCACAATTGAAATGGGAAACGTGGAAAGCGCTGGATCGCCATTTTCATGTTTCAATTTTCTAAAATAAATTAGAAAGGGTTTTCTTGGTTTGCTTCTTCTCTAGTAGATCTCTTGAATCAAAATTCCATTTGTATAATGATTTGGGTGGCGTTATGGGCCAGAAAGTGGCTTGGCTTTTGGATTCGATGTACACTAATCTCTTTTGATGCAATTCTTTAAGATAATGTCAATCATGGAAATGCATGAAAGAATAAGGGATGATTTAGCTCACAGTTTTGGTTTTTAATGATGTCATCTTGGACATGTGTCAATGATATTAGATTGTGTGTCTAATAATTTTTGCGCATTAGATGATTGAGGATCGGTAAATAGGTGATCTGGCAGCATTAACAAGCTAACAATCAAGACTATAAGTATCAAAGCAAAAATATTTTATTGAATAAATTTTATTTTCGAATCAGTTTGTCTTGGCTATTTGAAGTTAACTCCAGTTAGATTGATGTGTTGTGTCCATTTATTTTTCTATCCCTAATAAATCAATAAAAATAAGAGGTTAGTCATTTTTTGTGGGTCACAATCAAAAACATAAATCTGTTTTGCTTTATCACATTTGAAAGAAAATGATAGGTCCGATTGGGTCCTATCAAAAGTTCTGGCGCCAGCGCTTCATCAATGCTCACCTTATCTTCTTCACTTTAATTTTAATTAAGTGGATATTAGCATTAAAAGTGGCGATTATCGATTACTAATGAGTAATGATCTTTCCTTTCCCGCTGCATTCACAACTCCGATGTCGGTTGTTTTTATATGGTGACAATTCTTCGGTCGGTTTTTCAGATCCCAACGGTCCACTCTTCTACAAAGGATGGTATCACTTCTTCTACCAGTACAACCCGAACGCCGCTGTCTGGGGCGACATCGTGTGGGGCCACGCAGTCTCCCGTGACCTGATCCACTGGCTCCACCTCCCACTGGCCATGGTGGCGGACCAGTGGTACGACGTCCAGGGCGTCTGGACCGGGTCGGCCACCATCCTCCCGGACGGAAAGGTCATGATGCTCTATACCGGTTCGACCAACGAGTCGGTCCAGGTCCAGAACCTAGCCTACCCGGCCGACCACGACGACCCACTCCTCCTCGACTGGGTCAAGCACCCAGGCAACCCGGTCCTCGTCCCGCCGCCGGGCATCCACCACAAGGACTTCCGCGACCCGACCACCGCGTGGCAGACATCGGAAGGGAAGTGGAGGATCACGATCGGATCGAAAGTCAACAAGACCGGAATCGCCCTGATCTACGACACCGACGATTTCGTCAATTTCGAGCTCAAGGACGGGTTCCTCCACGGGGTTCCGGGTACCGGAATGTGGGAATGCGTCGACTTTTACCCTGTCGCCGTCGCCGGCGGCGACGGCCTTGACACTTCGGCGAACGGCGCGGGCGTTCGCCACGTGGTGAAGGCGAGTTTGGATGATGATCGACATGATTACTACGCGATTGGGACTTACGATGAGGAGGCCGGGAAATGGTACCCCGATAATCCGGCGATCGATGTCGGAATTGGGATAAGGTACGATTATGGGATCTTCTATGCTTCCAAGACTTTCTTTGACCAGAGCAAGCAGAGGAGAATCCTTTGGGGGTGGATTGGTGAATGGGATAGTGAAGCTGCTGATGTGAGAAAGGGATGGGCTTCTCTTCAGGTAAAAACAGAACTTGAATTTCTGTGGTGTGAATTTTGATGCAGACACTTATGGAGACTACATTGATTGGATGCAGGGCATGCCAAGAACAGTTGTTCTTGATACAAAGACGGGGAGCAATCTGCTTCAATGGCCGGTGGAAGAATCGGAGAGCTTGAGATTGAGAAGCAAGGAATTCAAGAACGTTGTAGCCAAGCCGGGTGCTGTTGTTCCAATCAAGCTTGAAGCAGCCACACAGGTTTGTGAATTGTGATTGTTTCTTTAAAGTAACAGTGTCAGTCACTTACTAGCTACGGTACAAAAATTTGTTTTAACTTACCAGAGAACATTGGTGTTTCTGGCGAATGCAGTTAGACATAGTCGCTGAGTTGGAGCTGGACAAAGAGGCGGTAGACAGAGTAGTTGAGTCCGACGAGGAGTTCAAGTGCAGCAGCAGCAGCAGCAAAGGTGCAGCTCACCGCGGTGCTTTGGGACCATTCGGCCTTCTGGTTCTCTCGGAAGAGACTCTCAGCGAGCAAACCCCTGTATACTTCTACGTCGTCAAGGGAAAGAACGCAACTTTGAGGACTTACTTCTGCGCTGACCAATCTAGGTAACATGATGATTCAACATTTCTCCATTTTTGTCACCTTTTACATATGGTTTCTCATGGTTGTGCTAACTGTAATGTATTTCAGGTCATCTCTGGCGAACGATGTGAATAAGCAGATTTACGGGAGCTCTGTACCGGTACTAAAAGGGGAGAAATTCAGGGTTAGGATGTTGGTGGATCATTCGATAATCGAGAGTTTTGCTCAGGGTGGAAGGAGTGTTATTACGTCGAGAGTTTACCCAACAAAGGCGATCTACGGAGCAGCTAGGCTGTTTTTGTTCAATAATGCGACAGAAGCTGGTGTCACAGCTTCTATCAAGGTTTGGCAGATGAATTCTGCATTCATCCGCCCATTTCCAAACCTGTAGATGGATGATTCGACGGGGAAGAAGCCTCGAAAACGAAAAAGTGATAGAAGAAGATAATTCGATGACCCGCTAATGATTTTGTGGTGGGTTCAATTTGGAGTAATTATTTTGTTTCTTTGGGATGAAGGGGAATGTGAGCTTGTTGTAATTAAAGAAAGAGGGAAATGTAAGAGAGGGGTTGTAATTGTGAGTGGGCGATGGATTCCCAATTTCCCAATGAGATTGGTGTAAATGATCTTGCAATCTCCCTATAATCAATCTTAGATCAAATGATTGATTTGCGAAATCTTGTTTAAGATCCTCTGTGTTCCTTTTTATCGCTTTTAGTTTGAGTTTCATAATATAATATAATGTATAACTAGACGGAGATGCCGTGCCTTAACGTGGGGCGGAGATGGCCTATGTGCATGTATTATGTGGTCCGTTATAGTGTTTTGTTAGTGTTATTAGTCTAAAATTAATTTTTTGTTAGTCGTTTTCTTAGTAATATTGACTGAGAAGAGATATATGGCGGTCAACATCCCATTTAATTTTAAATTTTTTTTTTTGCTCATATATGATATTTACCTAAACCCAAGTAGACTAATTTATTATGGGTAGGGTATGAGTGACGTATATATGGGTTTGGAAGTTTGTAGATGGGTTTGGGTAGGGTATGGATATTTACTTTTATAATCTAAATGTGTATGAGTTGGGTATGGATACCCATTTATTCGAGTATGTTTTAATTACACATACAAAAATTAGACCTATTTGTAGAACTTCAAATGTTTAGGTACTAAAATGTGATACAAAACAATTTAGGTACTAAAATGTAATGTTCCATCAATATTTTGAGGACCTATATGCAAACTAATAATTTAGGTTATAAATCTAATGAATTATTAAGTTAGGTACCAAACTATAATTTACATAGTTGAGGCTTGATTCCATTTATGGTGATGTATTTAAGATGATAATTATTTACTTTTTAATAGAAAATAGGAAACTATTTATTTTATATGTATAATTGTTGAAAATCCCATGTATAATTTTTGAAAATTCTAGTCCCTGGTGAAAAGAAAAACTCTAAAGAGAATAAAAAGGAATACAAACTGGAATTCACTTAAAATTTCACGCCTTCAAATCCCATAGTGGAAATGACTACTTTCTAATAAGTAATGACCATATATGTTTATTTTTAATTGGACTCGACATTGAGCTTAAAAAGTTAGTGGTTCAAGGTTTAATTATTAATTCTCTATATTGTTGGTCAGTCGCGTATGGACTCGTTCATACTTGTGATTAGAATACATATAAACAGTATACTAATTTGGTTAGACGACGAAGGCAACGAAAGAAATAAAGAAAAGCTTATGGACGACGAGTGAAAAATGAAACGAAGAGGAAGTAGATAATGGAATGGTCTTGACCAATTTTTTTAGTTAGGGTATCAAAATGTAAAATTTACATTATACTGACTAAGGTTTAATTTAATTAAATTTGGGTTTGAGGTATCAAAATGTAAAATGTACATTATAGTGACTAAGTTGTGATTTAATTAAATTTGGGGTATCAATTGTAAGTTAATTAAATTTGAGTTTGAGGTATCAAAATATAAAATGTACATTATAGTTGTTAATGTACCTAATTACGGATATATATGTAAATATATTTAGTGTAGGAGAGCTAGGGTTAGCCGACATATGAGGCTATATATATGAGGGTTCGGCCATGTAATTATGTACGGTTTTATTGGTGCTAGTATTATTGACTGAGAGTTGTCACTCTTCGTGGAGTAGTCCTGTTCACATTGAACAGGAAAATCACGTAAATCTTGTGCGTCATTCCCGTCTTGTCCGCTCGCATATTTCTAGCGACGTGAACTTCTTGGTTTCTTCCTGTTGATCGGCTTCGTGATCATCTCTTCTATATTAGGGTTTGCGGCGGATTTGAGTCTCCTTCGTTGCCGGTTTTCTTCATCGGATACTACTTTCTGCAGGTCTCACCTTCTTTTGCTCTCATTGTCCTTGTTGTCTTTTACGGGGGCTATCTTCCTGGTTAGTGGGGTCTTTAGCTTCTTCTTATTATTCCTACCATGGATCCTAATCATGTTGATGGTTTGGGAGAGAAATTGAACGACTCCAATTACTCTCTTTGGGCGTTTCAATTTAGTACGTTTGCTGAGGGTAAAGGTTTACTTGAAATTTTGGATGGCACTACTGCTCGGCCGCCTTCTCCTCCTCCTAGTGCGGCTGAAGTTGCTACTTGGCGTAGTAGTAATGATAGACTCAAGAGCTGGATCCTTTGTTCAGTTGATCCCACGGTTGCCCTCACCCTCAGGTCGTTTCCTATTGCTGCTGAAATGTGGACTCACTTGCGTGATTCCTACATGCTGGTTCATCCCTCTCGTCAATTCGAGGTGGAATTTCAACTCTCGCTACTTTCTCAAGGCGATAAATCAATTGCAGCATATTATCGTCTGGCCACTAATTTGTGGATCGAGTCTGATTTGATCACTGCATCGGCCCTCACCCAGTCCCTTTCCTCTGAGGTTCGTCAAGTGCAGAGGAAGGCCCGGTTAATGCAGTTTCTTTCGAAGTTGCGCCCTGCGTATGAAACCATTCGGGCTACTCTTCTTAGCCGGAATATTACTACTGTTGAAGCCGCTCTTCCCGAGCTCCAACGGGAGGAACGTCGTTTGTCTACTCAGGCGCAGGTTGATGGCCAGCTTCATGACATTAATGTTGCCTTTGCTGCTTCCTCTTCTTATCGTCGCAGTACAGCTCCGCCTTCTGGTAGTGTGGATCGTGTTGCTCCTCCTCCCTAGTCCGCGCCATCCACTCTGCGTCCCCAGTTTGCCTCCTCATCGACTGGTGATGTGTGATGTCATTATTGTCAGGAGCCTTGCCATATTCAACCCCATTGTCGTGTTCGCAATCTCTGTACGTACTGCAAACGTACGGGACACATCATCCTAGACTGACCTCGTCTCCTGAACTGCCCGCCTCGTCCTGCTCCCACGCCTGGTAATGCCTTTGTTGTTGCTCCTAACACTCGTCCTGTCCCACAGCCTGCTCTTCACGCTCAGCGTCCTCCCCATCTTCCTGGCATCACTAATGAAAACCTAGATGCTTTACTTCAGCAAGCTCTTCAACACGTACTTCCCACGGCCTTGAATGTTGCGTTTACTGTTGCTCCCAATACAGGTACCTCCAAATGGCTTTTGGATTCTGCTGCATTCAATCACATGACTCACCTACGTTCCTTGTTTCCTCACTTACGTCCTGTTAAGATATGTCTCTTCAAGTTTCTGATGGTACTCATATCTCAGTTGATGGTGTGGGTACACTTCGTGACTCTCATATAGCACTTGATAATACCCTTTATGTCCCACAGTTGGTTCCCAACTGGGTTAGTGTTGGTCAGTTGGCAGACCAGGGTTATCATATTCTCTTTGATCGACATGGGTGTATTGTGCATGACCCACGGACGGGGAAGACGATGGGCTGCGGGAGTAAGCAAGGTCGACTCTATCAGCTTGATCATTTGGTCCCTCAGGTCGGTGCCTCTCTCACCGAATCAGCGTCTAGCCAGCATGCGTGGATGGGGTCACCCGGAGGTTTTGGGGATCATGGGTTGGGTTCTTCTTTTCCTGCTACTTGTTCAGTTAATGTTTGGGATTTGTGGCATTGTCGGTTGGGCCACCCTCATACTTTGCGGTTACGTGAGATGTTTAAGAATAATTTACTTCCTAATAAGTTGGATACTTCTTTGATTCCCTCCTCTCGCTGCCTTAGTTGTGTTGCGGCAAAAATGGCTCAATTACCATTTGTTGCGAGTACTAGTGAGATTAATGAGCCATTTCAGCTGGTTCATAGTGATTTGTGGGGTCCCTCTCCTGTGACTTCGCGGTTGGGTTATCACTATTTCGCTCTATTCATCGATCAGGCCACCCATTACACATGGGTATATTTTCTTCGTCGCAAGTCTGAATTGGCTGCCATTGCTCAGTATTTTATCCGTATAATCCAAACACAATTCTCTAAAATATTTAAGGTTCTACGTTCGATCCTGGGGGGGGGGGGGGAATTCAATTCTTTTCCTCTTCATGTGTTCTTCAGGAGCGAAAGTATTCTATCTCATCAGTCCTGTCCTGGCGTTCATCAACAAAACGGGGTAGTGGAGCGCAAGAACCGCCATGTTTTGGAACTTGCTAGAGATATTCTTCTCCACTCCCGCGTACCACCTCATTTAGGGTCAAGGCTATCCATACAGTCATTCATGTCATTAATCGTCCGATCACCCCAATTTTGAAGAATCAGTCTCCATATTACTCGTTATACTCAAAACAGCCGGACTATTCTCAACTCCGTGTGTTTGGCTGCCTTTGCCTCGTCCTGCTGGCTCCTCGAGAACGCCATAAGCTTAGTTCCAAGCCTGCCAAGTGTTTCTTTGTTGGCTACAGCGACCACCATAAAGGTTTTCTTCGCTATGATCCAACTCACCGTCATCTCAGGATCTCTCGGGATGTTATATTTTTTGAACATGTTATGTATCATGATGGTGCATCTTCCATGACGCAGGAAGACTCTTTTGACTTCCTCATTCAGCACCTTCCATAGATGATGGACGATTATGATGATCCTCATATTCTGGACCATACTCCCCAAGGTGACTCCCCGCCTCCTTCACCTCCTCCCTCACCACCCGCCTACCCAGATCCTGTTGTTCTTCGCCGTTCTCAACGAGCCACTCGTGGGCAACCCCCTCTGTATCTCTCCCAGAATTATGTCACCTATGCTACTGCTCCCATTGAACTTCCACGTCATTATCGTAAGGTGAAGGGGAACCTGTTCTGGGACGCGGCCATGCAGCAGGAGATTGTGGCTTTAGAGGCCCAACACATGTGGGGCATAGTCCCCCGCCCTCCTTCGTCTGTGCCGGTCATCGGATCCCGATGGGTCTGTGCCATCAAACTTCTTCCCGATGGTACTTTGGAGAGATATAGGGCTCGTGTCGTTGCCCAAGGTTTTAGCCAGGAGTTCGGTGTTGACTATGATGAGACCTTTGCTACGGTCGTTCTTATGCAGACTGTTCGTAGCATTCTTGCCATTGCTTCGTTGCATAATTGGCCACTACGACAGTTGGATGTTAAGAATGCCTTCTTACATGGCGATCTTAAGGAAACTGTGTATATGGAACGCCCTCCTGGTTATCTTAAAGGTGATTCTTCTACTGTATGTGTCCTACGCCGCTCATTGTACGGTCTCAAACAAGCTCCCCGAGCTTGGTTTGAGAAATTCCATTTTACAGTCCGTCAAGCAGGTTTCAGTCGGAGTACAAGTGATCCATCTCTTTTCCTTCGTCAGACTATTC